CCCAAGTCATTATTCTCAAAAGTGTAAAAACTGTAGTGGGCAGTTAGCAAAACTTTTTAGGATGAAAAAATGGACCAATGTTTTAAGGACTTCTAATGAAAGGAGTGAAGAGAAGGGCTTATGTAGGCTGTGAATGGAGATGATGTTTCAAAGCTACTAGGCCTTCCTTTTGCATTCTCGCCTCTAGAAGTATATTGTTCCCTCCTTAGCCTCAGCAAGATTATTTGTGACATCTAGATGTGAGATAGGTAAAATTCAGCTTAGATAAAATGTTCAGCTTTCTTTTATTGCTCTTTGCTGTAAGATTGCTGGGGGTGGAGGGCTGTGAAAATGAGGAGCACTTTCAATCTTTCTTTATTAAAAAAAAAAATCATTCACCCAATGAAATTAAGGCAGCATTAGATGGGACTTTCGGTCACTGTAACATGAGTTGGGTAGCGAATCAGAAATTTCAATTGTCTTGCAGGGAAGAGTGTATATGATTACATAGAATTGTTTTACTGGTTGTGCGGTCTTTTCTGTGCATCAGGCAAGTACCAGCTTGCACCAGCTTGCCTGAAAGCTAGATCAAGAGTCCAGCCAGTTCTCAGCCATCTGCAGAGTATTAAAAATGGTTGTTCCCTAGTGTGATGTGTATATGGAATATTTGTAAATGGTAAATATCTAAGAATTGTTAAAATAGGAATTTAAATGCAACAGTGAGAAACTCAGTTTTTGTTTTAATTTTCTTTCATGTACCTTTTTCATAGCATGAGTCATCTTTTGCTTCATTCTTCATAATGCTGGTTGTAATGTGAAAGTAAGTAATCAGTGACTGAAAAAAAATGTTGATTGCATCCCCTCAGAGGCTGGGAACATGCCTGTTGGAAGCTTCAAAATACCTTCTTTTCTGAAAAAAATCTGTGTTAGGGAATAATTAGATAGGCTTTTCCAGAATGGTGAGTAACAGTCATGTTTTTTGGCGGTCTACTAGTTTGGATAAAGTATATATTTGAATTGCTCATCAGAGTGAGTTCTAGTATGACTAGAAACTAAGATCCTTAAATGTTTCATAGGCACTGTTGTATCTGCCCATGGCTTGGACTTGTGTGACTGAGTTTTTACACCTGTATGGGCTGCTACTCCAGGTCCAGAGAGATTACTTGGTGTAGTGAAGGTGACATTTTTTCCAAATTCAGGAGAAATGCAGGGCAGCAAACAGGCCTATCTTTTTAGAGGTGAATAACTACTTGCATGGACTTAAGTCTCCCTTCTGTTAACAAATGCAATTTCTTTAATGACTTCTTTAGTGTGTTTTATGCTAAGTATTGGGGAAAAAACCCCCAACTTTTGCTTCTTAATGTTTTCAGTGTTTTTACATTTTAAAAATTGTTGTGACTTTGCAGCCTTAAATTTGTTGTCAGAACTAATTTCAATAATATTTCAATGTGATTTCAATAAAATTAGTTTTTATAATACATTGTTTCAGGCAAGACAATGATCTGTAAATTGGAAAATGACTATTGTCTTCTGACTTGTTTGATGATGAAACTAAGTGAGAATTCTATGTTTGAAACACTAAAGCCTTCACAAGCTTTTATAACCTATATATTGAACTCTTATCTTAAAATTGAGAGAAATGAGACCTTTTGAGAAAGGTATTGACACCCTGCAGGGAAATATGTCAGCTGCAAAAATTTTTACACTGTCATGCTTCTTGGCCAGAAAATGTCATTAAGTCCCATCTTTCCCTTATACCACTTAATTTGAAAATAACAAACCATGTATGTGTAGCATAACTGCATTTTGGTCTGTGACTGTGATGTGTATTAGAGGTGTTTCTATTACTTCTACTGCTCTGTAACATACAATGCATTACTTCTGTTGCCATGAAGAAACTTTGGGGAAAAAAAAAAGATATGTATAGTGATTGAGAGATTCGAAATATTACTATTGCACTTGCTGAATTTTACAACCAACCATCTCATAAATAAACCTGTTTATTACTATTAAATGAGCAGAGATTGTTAATGTCTGCAGGGAGTTCATCGCGTGCTCTAAAATTGGACTTCGGTGCTTCTGGTCTTCACTCCAGTTATCAGAGTTAGATGTAATAGATCCATTAACACTCACAGCAGCCTACAAAATAAAATATTTGCGGAGACTTTCTCCTTTCTGAAGGCACAAGTACAACACTTAACAAGGTTTCTTGAGCAGTGCACTATGCATGATGACATTACAAGGATAGTGCACGTAAGATTGTCTCACGTATTGGCATCACTAATGTATGTATAAAAATCACATTGGTTTTTAAAGTGTAAGGAACATAATGCTGGTACCTGAATAAACTGTGATACTGTTAATAACTGTTAAAATGTAAAAATGAGATTTAGAAAAATGCTTTTTAAGATGCCTGATACCTTCAAGTAAAGGCTAATTTTTTATTTATTTTTTTTTTAATTTAGGCGTTTTTGTGTTGGAAGAGCCTATAAGCAATGCTTATGTAACAGTGCTTAGGCTTACACATCAGCCAGCTGGTATAGCCAGATCTTCAGTTTTTATCCTTTTTTTACTTTTTGGAGGTATTTGTGAGTAGCTTGATGTTTTTGACATCTGCGTGACAGCCTCTTGCATAAGAGATGAGCAGCGTGTTATACCACCCAGCTGTGTATATTAGTCTGTACATCAAGCTGAAGAGCGGCACTTAGCCAGATCTGACAATCAAATGTGAACTAGTACTACCTATACACAAGAGTGCATTTTAATGTTGCGTGCTTTTTGCCAAGAGGCTGGTACTTGACAAAGAAATTGTCAGAATCTCTCTTCTTCCCACCTCTTCCCCCCACCCCCCCCAGATGTGAGTCCATGTTGAAATATGTGGTGGTTTTTTTGCAGTTTAATATGGTTTATCTTATAGATAACAAAGCCACTCTGATGTTTTAGTGATTTCGTGTAGTAAAATTGTAGTAAGATTTTTATAATAGAGAAGTGTTACTGTTTTAGAATGTGCAGCAAATTAGCACGTCATTTTCTGCCGACTTAATCCAAAATTACATTATGCTTGTTTTCACCAATGACTTCATGTCAACATACCAACAACCTGTCCCCAAAGAAAACTAGGGACCTAGAGAAATTACATTGCTAGTTCGTAAATTTCAGTGCTGCTCTTCTCAGTCTAGTTAAGAGTTGGTGACCAGCAGATTGCGAGTGCGGAGGTGAGTGAGAGCTACATTCTCTTATTTTAGTTTGACTGATCTATTTGCTATAAACCTTACAATATTTTATACTTCCTCATGATTTTAAGCTTCTGTCATCTTCCTTGATGCTTAAATTGAATAAATGAAATTCACTGTTACAGAATAAAATACACGGTAACACTCTTCGTAGTTCACCTTTTCTTGTTTATGTGTTTGGTATAAGCCAGGAGTTAGTTGCTACCTGTAATATTTCTTTCTTCCTTTTTGAAATAGGATTGCCAGAATAGAGAAGATGTGTTTTGACCTGTATATGCAACCCAAGAAGATTATGAAAAGGGGAATTTACAAGGGGGGAGGGGGGGGGTAAGAAATATTTTTTTTTATCAATGAATTCTCTTGTCTATGGAATAATCGATTTGCAGTGAGATCTAGGTGATGAAATATGTAGTAGTTTCCATATAACTTGGTTTTATGAAAGTGTTACTTATACCCTTTTTTAACTTATTCTGTGTTTTCCTTTGTATTGCACCCTTATTTTTTTAAAACCTGTATTCCATTTCCATCTGGTCTCGCTCTTACAACATGAAAGTATTGAATAAGCTGAAAATGCAATTCTTTCTTGTGATAGTGTTTATGTAGTTGAAAATATTGCAATAAAAAAGAGAATTTGAATCCTGTTATCTGAAATATTTAGGCATTATGGCAGATGTAGTTTTATGATCTTTGAGTTGCAAAGTTTGTAAAGAAACCATCCTTGCAAGTTAAAAGAAATAAGAAATATAGGAAACTGTTAATTTTCTAGGCCAATACACGATTTTTACACTGTTGTTAATCTGTACTTATATCATGTTGAGTTAGTGTTGTGTTAGACTGTGGGTAGGTAAATATGGAAGGACTTGTCATGGATTGGGATTGTTTGATTCCAAAAATCTGATGGCATGTTTCAAGTGTCTCTTGCACTTTCCAAATCTTTAGCTGCACAGTTAATTGTATAATGCATACAAAAATTCTATTTTTATTAATAAAAATATGGAAAAATGCAGTTTGGGGAAAATCAGGCTTTTATCTTAGCAATTTCGTAGTGGTTGTGTTGACTAAACATTGGTGGAGTTACTCACAATCTAGAACAGAAGTAAAAAGGGAGTTAAGAGAACAAAGGGAACAGGGAGGACGTGCTCTTCACAGTCAGCTGGTTCTTAGTGCACTCCCAACATCAAACCATGGTTGTGGCTGTCTTCTGGGATGGCAGGTCTTGAAGGTGGCATTTTAAATATTGTCAGGTCGTAGGGGCTTTGGTGTCCAGTAGATGATGTTGTCTTTTTCCTTCATACACCCATTTCAGGAAACATTTCGGAGTATGCCCAACATTGAGGCTTACTGTTTTAATAAAGTATATTCCATTAAACGACTCGGTAATATGAGCTTTGTACTCATTGGATCCACAAATTGAATTAGAAAATAAAATGAAAAAGAAATAAGGAATTAGTATCTGGGAGTAAAGTAGGTGTAGTTCTGAAGGACATTAGACCAAGATGGATTTTCATCACTGTAACAAGGACTGATTATCTAAAAAAGAATTTAGGAGGAAAAATACTGATGTACTCTGAAACTGTCTAACTTCAATTACTGCTTTGTAAGTTGAAAAGTTCCACTGATTTTTTTTTTTTGCATCCATTTTTCATCATTTAATTTTCCAGAACTGAAGGTAGTAAGAGAAGTAGTTGCACATGTTTGTGTCTTTTTAATATAACTAGATTTATACTTGGCTGTGTATATGTTGGTTTTTAGTCTAATTTTCTGTTTCAATTTTACTCCTTCAAACAGAAAAAAAAGCTTCTTGAAGAACTTGGAGAGAATAGACTTCCATATATGACACCAGCCGATGCTGATTTCGATCAGTTGGTAATGTATTTCTCTTAACTGTGCTTGTTCTAAACTAAAATGGCAGTTTGCACTGAACAACAAATAAATCTTTCTTCAAAGAGACACTGTGAAATCTGATATGAAAAAGTTATCCTGATGGCTGATAACGTACTTTCAGGTTGTGCGAAATAAGACCTCTAGAATTGGGATGTTCAAGAATGAAAACTTTGTGAACTTCATTTATTTTTACGATTTTGCGCTGCGTATCAGAAACTCAGTACCAGTAACGTGTAACAATGAATCTCAGTTTCTTAAGCTTTGTTAAAATAAAATACATGTCACTATTCTTTTAAGTGGTTTGTTTTACGAAACAAACTGTGGAAATTGGAATGCATACCTGAAATGAAACCAAATAAAAATAAAAACAGGCTCAGTAGCCACATGAGTTGTAAACCACATGAGTGTATGGAAGAGTATTATGAAATTAATAGAATATCTGGCATCTATCTTGGATCTTTCTAGGTCAGGTACAAAACATGTGACAAGAATTGTAGGTTCAATCAGATCAAATTGGAACATGTTAAGATGAAAAACATAAGAAAGAATCTCGTAGTTTGAACAGCTACAGCAAGCATGCTTACGTTACAGGCATGTCACCTTTCTTGTATTGATATATGGCTCAAAGATGTATATGGTACATATTGAGACTCAAGCTGCTTACTATTTTCTCCTTCCTAGTGCTGTTAGATCCCTTCCTGTTTATTCTCATTTGTATCTGTTGCTGCCAAGAGCTGCTATGCCCAGCATCTTTTTCTTTTTCCTATCTTTGTGAATCCACAGTCTTGTGGAGCTGATGTGAAAAGAGAATATGGAGCCAAGGTTGCCCGAGTGGCATATCCTTTGCTCAGTATCAGTAACCCATAAATACAGAAGGCAATGGGAACAAGATAAACAGTGAAATCAGACTTGTTCAAACCTTAATGGAGTTTAGATACATTCTTTTTGCATCATATGGAATTATACTTCTTGTGTAGTGTTTGTGTGCATGCTAGGTATTTTTAAGTATATGTAATAATCATAAGCATCACAAACAATTTTTAAATTCTTAAGGGGTTATGAAATGTTACTTTAATCACAGCTGTAGATTTTACAAGTTCCATGATGCTTAAATGTACTACAACTGGAGAGGAAAAGAAGGGTGAGAGCTTGACGACAACAAATTGGCAAAATAAAATAACACATAAAGTTTAGTTTTATAGTCTGTCTTTCATGGAGAAACGTGCCTTACTCCTTTAAGGATCCACCCCTTATAAAGCAGTATTCTTGTAATGTTGGAAAGGTTAGGCAGAATGGAAGTAGAAAAAGTGAAGTATCCTGTCAGGTATGGAAATGTACAGTCTGAACGGAACTAAGAAATTCCATCACAAGCAAAACTTCACTGACATCCTCTTTCAGTGTGTCTTGCCTGATGAAGGATTTTAGAAATGGGCACCAAACCACAGGCTGGAACAATGTAATGTTTAAAGCAAGTTATGAACAAGAAAAAATCTATTAACAAGGCAATTCACAAATATCTGAAGTACAAACTATCATTTCATGATCTAAGTGGCAGTGTGCTTATCAAGGGTCCTTACTGACCTTTTCTAACTTTGTTCTGTCACTTGGGTTATCCTGTAGGGTGATTCTATGGTAGAGTACCACCATTACAAGTGAAAGCATGTCTGTATTTAAAATCATGTGTTTAACATTCATATGAAGAATTGACCATGAAATACGCTTTTTTCTTTTTTGTCCTGTAGTTGCCTGTAACGTACCTACATCTTTCAGAGTGAACAGTGAATTGACCTTTAATTCTTGCTGTCAGAGTTACAACACAGAGTACATGATTACTCCCCCTTCCCCATCCCCCCAAAACAACAAGGTGTCCAATGTGAACCCTGCATTCACCCTGTGTTCTGATCCCTTAATGCTTTCCTTATGTAGGATATAGCACAATGACCGATTGGAGATTTAAAGACCAAACTGTTTTCATAGGATGCGTCAGAAATGTGTTTCCACTTCCTGATTTCTTCTGAGATATCAGTGTGGTTTTGGTTTTGTTTTGTTTTTTTTTTTTTTTTAAGGTAGAATCTGAAGTATACTGTGTAAGACTTATTAATAAAATAGTTCTTAAGCATGTAGTCTTAAAACAACCCAAAGGTAACATGCCTCTGACTTGGCGGGCAACAAAATGTGGAAGACATTATCTCTGCAGTTCAGGAGGGACATACAATGTTGTTACCTTTGTAAAACCTGTGTGATTCTTTCTAGTGCGTGTTTTCAAGCATTTAGTTGCTTTACATGGTATTGTTACTTCCCTCCTTCTGGTTGTGATAATTGTTTGGAATTTCATGTGTGCAATTCATGTCAGAAATTCAGCATATTAAATGTTTTAAAAATATGTTGTAATAATGACTTTTTAAATATGCCATAATAGCGTATGTAATGTGCTAATTGGTTCATCTGACCTGAGTATGTCCAATATACAGAAATATTTAAAGAAATACTGGGATACTGCTATAGAACTGTTAGTGCTCGCTCTTTTAGGCATATCGTTTGTGTAATGAAACAAATAGGGCAGTAATAATCTTTGTATGTCACAACATAAAATGTTCTGTCATTATTAAGAATGATTGTGAAATAACAGTTCTGATTCCCATCAACCTATACCCACACATCTGGCTGTAGCTTCTAGCTGTAAATCCTTAAAATTTGCAGTTACTGATTTCAGTAGTTACTCTTTAGAAAAAATTTTTCACTGTACTGTTCAAAGGCTACAGATACAAAGGACTGATTGAAACAAAGGGGACAGTTCAGGACCTCTAAAGGAATCGTTTCAGGCTTTTGGCAAGTTCAGGCAAACAGCATTTACCAAGTTTATATTCAGTTCTTTTAATGAAAGCTGGGATTCAGTGTTCTGTACTGGGGATTGTAGAGGGACCTTCAAACAGATATCTGGGACTGTTTTCAAAGTTTGATATTTAAAGTTAAGCATGTAAATACTGTTGTCAGAAATTATTATTATCTATAGATACTGTTATGGGTCTTTTTCTTTCTCTAGGAAGCTAGTTTTTGGAAACCATAAGAATGTGTAAAGAAGGGGAGTTAGCTTCACTGTAAAAATTCACAAGAAATGGTGGCAAGGTTTATAGATAAACTAAGATTTATTATGTGTAATGATTATTTTTAAAATAGACTTCCTTTTATGTTCCCCTTTTTAGTAGAAACAAACGATCCTATAAAGGCACCTCTTCAGTGGTATAGGTTAACGTGTTATAATGCGAAAGTCTAACTGTTTTCATACAGTAGCAAATGTGTATAATGACTTACTGCCTGGTTTGTGATTTTTAAAGGCATCTCTTCTGGATTTTAAAGTTAATTTCCTGAAAGGCAGGTTCAAATCTGACTTGGAAGTAGATAGTACTAGTAAAGTGGCTTTGAGTCGTACCAGAAGGAGCCTGCAGATGGATCGTAGGTCAGTGGGATGCTTTTGTGCTGTTGGCTTTTATTTGTTTTTTAAAAGCACTTTGAGCATAACCTATTATGTTAGTAAAAGCTTTGATAGATCAGTTTTGTGCATCCATGTGCTCTTGTCCCGTGGCCTAATGCCTTCAGATTTCACTTTTCCGTAATTTTTTTTCCCCACAGCATGGCCAGTGTCTACCTTTTCCCCAGAGGAGTGACTAACTTCTGGACAAAAGGAAACAGGCATTGTGAGTCGTTCAGAGCTTCGCACATGCTAATTGATACCTGATAGACTCACATTACAGCCTTTCCCTTACTAAGGACACCAGTTTGCATCTGTTTCTTTTATTTAGCTATTGATTTTAATGAAATATGTAGGAACTTAGTCTATTTAAGAGCTTATTCTCTAGCCTTTGTCCAGTTTGCCGAACAGTCTCAGCAGTAGTTAAAGCAGATTTACAGGCAACCAATAAAAGGTGTGATTATGTGATACTCGCTTCCTTAGAAAACCAAATTAACAAAATAAAATTAACCAAGCCTTCCTGGAGTGGGAAGCAGTATTTTGCATACAAAGCATGATACTACTGATTAGCAGTGTTATCTGGGAGTTGTTGCCTCCACATGCTGCTGGATTCTGAACTCCAACTGATACCAGAGCTGGTGTGGTCAGAAGAGAATATGAGGAGGAAGGATATTAGAGGTGGGAAGATGGGGAGGAAAAAAAGTTTGGAAACTTTCTTTTGTCTAAAAGGGGAACTGTTATATAAAATAGGAGAACTAACTGGCATGCATTGAGGAATGTGAAAATAGAAAGGACTGGTATGTCAAGGACGATTTTGAAGATAGAGGTGCAGCGCAGGAGAATACTGGCCTTTTGTGAAAATTTATATTTTAATTTTATTTTTACCCTAAAAATTGTTGTTATATAAAACTATTTCAGTTCATCATGTAGCCCTCTAGGATTCTATATATCAGAATGAAACAGAATGGTCCTTGCAACATCTCTTTGTTACTGCTCGATATTCTATTGTTTGTATACTTAAAACTACATATTCATCAGGGGAGCTTATATGTTCTATTGATTTCTGCCAGAATCTTCAGATAGATTGATCTGTTTATTTAGAGATTTGCCCTGGTGATACTCTCTGGTTACAGGCCACTGGTATGTATCCACAGGTTGTGCAGTATATTGGAATATGAAAATAAAGTAACAAATGCTGGCATCTATTTCTTCACCATATTCTTGACTCATGCTTGATAATTTGTCAATTTAGCCTTGTCTATTCTTGAATATATGAAATACTTTGATTCCTGTAAAAAGAGTAATTATTTTGCTGTTTTTGTTGTTTGTTTGGTTGGTTGTTTTTCTCCTTTAGTGGAAGACCAAATATTCCAAACTGATTTTCGGGAAATCTAGTACAGTACCTGAAGAGCTCCATCAAATGGTACAAGAAGGCTTTCTGACCTTGCGAAAACACGATTGTTTCTTTCAAGATCTTGTAAGGATCAAAGGAAAAGATTTTGTTACCCCAGTGTCTCGTATATTAATTGGAAACCCAGGATGCACTTACAAGTACTTGAACACAAGATTATTTACAGTTCCTTGGCCTACTGAAGGTTATGATATAAAATATTGCAGTCCTCAAATACATGATGCTTGTAAAGCATTAATCACACTTAATGACTACTTGCATATTGAAGCAGTCAAGGCATTGCAAGGACAAAATTTGTTTGAGACCAAAGAAATTAAAGATACTACTGTAATAGATAGGGCACAAAATTTTGCTACTTCTCTTACGGAGAAAGCGTCTGTTTCAAAAGATCAAAGCAGTTGTTGTGTACCAGAGGATGACTACGTAAGTCTAAAGAACAGAACATCTTATAACTTGACTTTATTAAATTATATGGATCCACTACAAATGCTGTACTTGAAACAAGAACCTTATTTTGGAATGGGGAACATGGCAGTGAGCTGGCACCATGATGAGAATCTGGTTGAAAGGTCAACGGTTGCTGTGTACAGTTATAGCTGTGAAGGTGAGTGATGGGAGGTATGAGTTGACTAGTGATATAAATATCTTAAATCCCTGAAGCTCTTCTATGTTTTCTTGTCTGTACGTACATAAGCACACCTGCATGCCAGTCTAGATTTGTCGCATGATTCTGAATACATTGTGATACTTTTTGTGTTTAAGCCCTATCTTTTCTTGTACTAAAACATGTACAAAATATACATGTGTTTACTAGAGCTGGCTTATCAGTTGTTCTCTAAGTAGATTTAAAATTTGGAATGATTAACTTCCTGACTAAGAGCCAAGAAATCAAAATTTGTCAAATACCTATTTCAGATTAACACATGTGCATATTTTCTGTTCTGTAAAAAAACTGTTTCGCTTTAGTTGAGATCACCATCTTTATTGTGTTATTTGACATATACAGACTTGCTTCTACTTTAAGCTGATTTTATTACTCTTCTTTCTTGGGAAAGCTCATTTTAGGTTGTTTTTGTATGAAAGTGTTACTGTATTTACTTGAAAGTATATACATTTTGTCTAGGCATGCTGTAGTGCTAATGCATGTTTTGCGGAGGACTTGCCAACACTTCTGTAGTTGAGAAGGGTGGAAGTTTTCCATTAAAAGACCTGTTGTCTAACAGGCTTTGCAGGCTCTTAGTTAATTAAAAACCAATTAAATGCCATATTAGGGGGGGAAAAAAAGAGTAGTTGAAGGGTCATTAAATATTTCATTTTTAGTTTAAAGTATCTTTCCCATTTTTCTCATTATTTATGAATAGACATGATTTTTATTTTTTTCCTAACAGTGTTTGAACAAATCCTTGGATTTTTTTTAATTACTTCCATTTTTGCAAACATAAGATCAGAATTTAGACACTTGATTCGAATTTCCAAATGCTCCATTATGTTTCATAATTCACGACTGATTTTTGGTCCTTCCAAAAATCCTTTGATGTTTGCTTCAAAACATGAGAAGAATTCATGTTGATTTCAGTAGTTTTTAGCTAAAGATCATGATGTAAAAATGATAGCTTATACTTTCATATACATTCTCTCGTTAGTTTTGTTATTACTTTTGAAACTATGGGTCACTTTGTTACTTAACGTTCAGCTAAAATCATTGTATTTACATTTTCCTGGACATAAAACATCAGCTGGCTTAGCGAACAGAATAGAAGAGATTTGCTGACCAGTAGAAGTGTAATTATGTTCATGAACTTTTTTCTGTCCTATTTGCCAAAGACATTGATATTTTATGTGCAGTAAATGTATTTATTTAGTACTGTAGATAAATATTTTTTCAGTAACATTTTAAGTTAAAGAAACATAAACTTGAAGTAATAATAGTGTGTATGAGGATTTATTGTAATATTCTTAAGAACTTTTTACTTTAACATAAAACTTGCTTGTGGAGGGGAAAAAATGGGTCCCTTTAAGTTCAGAGAGCTATAAATTAATAAAAAAAGAAATCTGCTATGTTTATTCATAACTCGGCACTTGATTTTGTTTCTTCAAGTTCAGTAAGTTAGGTAAAAATTATGCTGTTTTAAAACTACTGCAAGTTCCATGCAAGACTTGATTGATGAGGGTAGAAAGAAATATTTGATATATTTAGACCAAAATTTATTTTGATATCTATATGTAATTGATGTTTTTGCTGCATACAAGATTTTTTAATAAATACACTTAAAGGTTTATTTTTTTTTTACTGAAGGATTTAAAAATAGACACGAAAGCTTAAAAAAGCTAAGAGCATTCCAGTAAGCAAATTGATCATTCTATCATTTACATTAAAAATTTAAAAATCACTCCTTCAATTTTTTGTATTTTTGCAAGAATTGCAAAAATTTTTGAACAAATTGAAATTTGATTATGTATTGGGGTGGGGAATCTCTTGGCAGGAGGTGGTGATATTAAAATCTCAGTGTAGCTGAAGATAGTGTAAAAGACACTTTTTTGGGAAGAAGATGATTTATGAAGTCAAATCTAAATCTGAATAAGATTGAATTATACTTGATAGCTCTTGAGCATGGCTCAAGTTGGTTTCATGAACTTCAGAAGGAATTTAAGGTGCCTGGGATGGCTCCTGGGCATCATGAGGAAATCTCCTGTAGTATAGCTTTGTGTGAAAACAGTTCACTCACTTCTGTCTGTGTTCAGGGTGTGATTGTCATTGTATATCCCTAAAGTGAAACTGTATTTATAGTTGACCTGCTTATTCATAAGTTGGAAGAAATGGAACCTGTTTATGGATATGGCATTGTGATTAAGATGACAATAAATGCTTGTGTGTGTTGGAGCTTTCTACCCAACACATCCAAGAGAAGTGATCAGTCTACTTGATTTTCAGACAAATAAATAGGTTGTCTTTTTGCTCTTTTTTTCTGTTTATAGCTTTCAAATGCTGCTGATTATTTAACTTATCAGTGCTTATAGTATTACTCTTTCCAGTTGCATATCACTTCAATGTGTTGGTGGCTTCTGCAGTTCACAAAGACTGTCAATATTTACTCTATCTCTTACGAAGCTCTCCATAGCTGTGAAGCATGAAGAAGCTCCACATCTTTTTGAATATTTTTGTTAAGTCTTTATAGAATTGTATCTTGACTCCTCTTTCCGTTTTCCATAAACAGTTTGCTTTTTACACCAGTATCTTTTATTAGTTCTTCCTCCATTAATTCATTTAGAATTGAGTTAGCACTGAATTCTCACTGTAGTGCATAGACTGTCACAGAATCATTATAGAATTTATAATAAAAAGAGTAGAGGTGCTCAGAAATTTTTAATGGAACAATTTTTCCTTAGAAGATGTTGATCAGATGGATTAGTAATTTTCTGGGAGAAAACACTGATGCTGCGGGAAATTCAAACATAAATTTAAGCATGTTGATTTCTGTTAAAACTAGGTTGATTCTCTCTTCTGCTGAGTCTTGCACATTTTTTTGTCATCTCTCTTTTCCATTAATTCTCACTTGTCTATGTGGTACCTCAAACACTGAGGACCTGTGGCAGCCCCTTAGCGTGGGGAGGCTAGAACTTCCAGAGCTTCATGTCTGGCACCAGTCTACCCTGCCACAAATGCAGAATCCCCAGGTTTTTGGTTTTTGAACAGCAGGAGCCCTGGGAGTCAAGCAATCTTACTGCATTATGGCAGCTCTTTGTCGGGCTGTTTAGAGATGCACAGCTCAGGTTATATGGTTTTCTTTTTACTTTAACTTGCATTTTTATATCATTATTTGTTTGGTGTATACTTATTTGACTAAACAGTATTAAACAAGATACTACTATAATTGAAACAACTTTTTTTTCTTGTTCAGTTGTTCACTGTTTGATGCCATAATGCAAATTCGATGTTTGAAACTTTGATCAGTATTAATTAGAGTAGAAGCGGTTTTTAATATGCCAGAAAAGAAATTTGAGAGCCATCATAAAGATATTGGAACAAGCTGATATTCTAATTAGTATCACTGTTTATTTTCTTGTTTCCAATGTCAAACTGTTTCAAAGCATCTTCAAATGAGGTACATTTTTAACAACAAAATAAGATAGACATTTTGCTTAATGCCCATCTGAATAGTATTTGCTTTTATTTACACTAAAATAAAATGCATTACATTACACTAGGTTAAAAGTAGATTTTCAGGTGATAAGAATAGGCCCTCAGAAAAATTTGGGAAATTTCCTTTTAATGCATGTACTGCATGAAAGTGCATGAGTGGTAGTCATGGTGTACATACAGAACTGAATACATTACAGAATGTGTTTTCAATTATACTATCACTAATACTATTTGGAATTAATTTACTTTTCAGAATTTACCATGGAACAGGAATTCAAAATTTTGACCATTTTAGGATTTTTAATAACACATTAGTTTACAAATATCCTATCACACGAGAGCATTACCATAAAAACTTGTTCAGGATTTTAATATGGTAAGCTGAGAACCCATTTTTATTTTCTACTGTATTTATAAAAGTGAATTGCAATCCAAATACTGGTGGAATAAGGACATTTTCAAAAATTGGATTTTATCCATGAAAATTTCCTAACGAACAGTTTTCCTTCAGGTCTTTAGGTTTTGTAGGATGTTTTATTGCTCAGCAGAGCACTAGTTGGTTCTAAAGATGTTCTTTGAAGTGGAGACTTGTTTCAGTTACCAACTTAAAGGAGACGGAAAATAATGCAGTCACTGAAAGTATCCATCTTTCTCTTACCTGGATTTCCCACAAACCATGTTTGAGGTTAGATAAGTAGTTTTCTCCAGATTTTTTAGAGTATCTTGTTTGTCTTCTTGCTCTAAGGCCTATTGGCTGTATAAATCTCTTGAAGTACTAAACAACTGGCTCTATTCACTGACAAGGTAATGTTGGAAGGTTTAACAAACTTGCAGTTACTTGCAGTAATGACTGATCTTGAAGGAGCTGTTATGCTTGTTTCGTTTGTAAAATGTTGTGTTTTTTTCGTACTGTGCCGTTAGAAGCAATATCCTAGCACTAAACCTAATGATGGCTACTTCATTTCTACAGTAAATGCGAATAAAAATAATTGCAATTCACTACAGATGTATGTTTTGTCACTAGGTTAAAAAACAAATCCTACAAAACTACAGAAGTTGTTCAGAATTGAAGTCAATCTGTAGTTGACCAATCATCATCTTTATGTACGGCTTAATGGATAAAAGTCATGGAGTAGACATTTGTACAGGATGAGAACAATTACATTAAATGTTTTCTAATGTCAATAATGTAGAAGAAATATTGCTTGTTGAAAGACTAGAAATGGTATGTAGACAAGTATATATAACTTCTTAAGAAATGAATGAGTGTAGTGGTCACATCTGTAACTTGTAGGTTCTCGCCAGTTGGAATTATATTCTGAAAGAATCACAAATCTTTAATGATCCAATTACTCTTATAATAGTAGACTTGAATCCCTGTTTTCTAAAAAGAAATCATCATTTCAATAAACTGTTGTGGGTTTTGGGTTTTTTTTTAAACCATGCTCTCCTTGATTTGATCAAATAAAGTCTCCCCTTCAAAAGTGAAAGGATGACAGAATATTATTTGTTCTTATTTTAGTGCTTTTGTTCTTAATATATTTGGACGCAGTATTCCAAATATGAATTGATCAAAACAATGTTGGCAAATCTTCCAATTGTTGTTTTTGTTCATGTCAGTTGCAAACAAAAGTTAAAATATTAGTACAGTTTAATTTCTTATGCTGTGACTTTTCAGTAATAAGGTAGAAGAAATAACTCTAGGTAGATACTCATTGTTTCCCACCAGCTGCCGAAAAGCAAAGCATGCTCTGCTTTTTTCACTACCTCCATATAACATATATAAATTGCTATGGACTCAGTAATAATGTATATATTCCATTAATCACTGAACACATGCCTGAATTCTTTTAAATTCTGGAAAAATCAATCAATCTGTAAAAAAAAAAATAATTATTTTTTCTGTGTCTATATAACAATGGTCAGTTAGATTTAATGACAAAGTAGATGTCTACAGCCCTTCTTGCTTTCAGCGTTGTGTGGGCAGTGATTCTGTCATCTTAAGAAATCAAATTTGATTTAAGATTACATTTAGTATATAGTTTGGCATTAAAATTTGACTGAAATAGAGAACATTTAGGTTTCAGAGTGTCAACTCTCAAACTGTTCATGAAGATTTTGGTGCCAAATAGCAAAGAAACCTTTCAAGTCTACTTTTACTTTCTGTGCTGTGGAACAATAACCAAGCTAGATCCAGGAAAACAAGTTTCATGTTGTTCTAAACCTAACTGTGACCCAAACCTGATAAGATTGGGTCTTAGAGCTTGGAATGTCTCTCAAAATTGAGCTGTCTAGTTGGAAGCATAATACTGTGGCCAATTTTCTGCAGCTACGTTCTTTCTTTCATCGTTCTACCTTAATTAGAGGTTCGATGAGGTGGTGGTGTTATGTGGTAAGCTTGTTACCTAGTTGCACCGTTGCATTTGGGATGCAAGCATAAAGATTTCTTGCAGGCCAAATTCTGTAAATCTTTGAGCAGAATTCAAATTCCCAGATAGTTTTATTGTATTTCCGTTAAACACTGGTGCATTTGGCCAATTCTGTATGGTCTGCTCCAAAATAAATACATGTTCTTAAGGTGCTGTGTATGTGCAAGATCCACATGATTTGTGCTCAAGTACCTATGGTTTAGATGCATCCAAATGTTTTCACTTAAATGGGAACTGTAGTTATATCAATGAATATACAGCATTTGGTCATGCTTGAGGTGTGACACAGAGGACTTAATAACAACAACTTTTTATGTAAATGTTTGTCAGTGCTACTGAGAGATATACTGTAAGTGTTAGGATGTCTTTTTTTTTCTCTTGCTCTCATTTTCAGAATAGCTTGCATTTAAAAGCTAGTAGCAGCTTGCTTCCATTTGTTACCAAAATAACATCGTAGGAGCAATCAGTTTCAATTGCTGCTGATAATTATAAGGTGCAATAATTGAGAATACACAGAAAAGGAGACTGTGAGCTACATTTGAACTCTGTACTTAAGCAATAAAAAATTTATCAAACTGCAAAAAATAAGTCATTTTAACGAGCACATTCCAAAGGTGCTGGATTTATGAGGAGACCCCAGGAAACTTTGATTGAAATTGCTGTCTCTGATTGTAGTTCTATATTTTATTGGTGCCATATTGTGAACAGTGCTGCTGCCAAAGTGAATGGGAAAGCAGCATAACAGAGAGAGTTAACCCAGAAAGGTTACCTCTTTTTATAATATCCATGATGTATTACATTAAAAATGCCTTGAAAGCCATCCTATTTGCAGTTTTCAGAAAACATTTTTCTTAAATTAAGTTACGATTTATCTGAACAGGGCAGAAAATATGAAAGGCCCTTGAAGACTTTAGTATTGATTTTTCAGAGTATTTGCTAGCTCTTGTTTTCTCATTTGTGTGCTCCTTGATAGAAAGGCCTAGAGCTGCTCCTGAGCCAAAGCTTCAGCTGGATGAGAACTGCAGCAGTGAAGGGAGGGAATACAGGGACTGAATTTACAGTAGGAGTTTTAACTAGGAACTTTAGATTGACTTTTTAAAAGATTTTGGCGCTCTGCTTTCTGAAATTAGGCAGTATTTAATTGACATAATTAATAAATTGTCTTAATTTTCTCTTAAAGGCTACTCCCAACTAAACAAACACTGCGGTAACCATGTGATATAAATGACTTGAATATTTTGAAAGTGTGAGTTCAAGATCACTTTTTATGTGTGCATATTATAATAAGAGTTATAGATCTTTAGTATTTTTATTCTAGAATTAAGTGAAGACAAAAGTTTTAAAAATTATTACATGAAAGCACACTTGAAATAGACAGTGAAGGGGGCACACACTATTACTAACATAAGCAATAATTAGGCATGCTACATAGTTGATGTTTTCTAACTGTTCACTGCTGTTCTGTGCCAACTGCTTATTAAAACTTCATCCTCCCTCTGTCAAAATGCTCTGTTACTTTAGCCATAAAACTGTTATACCATAGCTCCCAAGTACCTTGTTATAAATCCTGACTGTATTTTTCAATTTATACTGCAGTGAAGTAAGCTTATGAAAATAGTTCTGAGGGATTAGGCTCTACGTACTAATTCTATGCAGTGGATTATTTTTTCCCCAAGCTCAGCACATTCATGTTGCTTAATGATAAGAAAAATGTTGTGACAAATGTTTTGAAGCTTTGTTGGCTCGTGCACATATTATCTAGCATGTTTGCCTAATAATTTTGAGAAAAGAATGACAGGTATGATTCCAAGATTCACTCAATGTTATTGGTCTAGATTGTGTTTTGTGCCCATTATTTCACCTTACTTTGCCTCAGTTTATGATTAGGTGAAATTGCAAGTACATAAACAAATGAAATTGTTCATAAAATGCTTTGGCAGTTTATGACTTGAAATTCTTTCAGAAGTTACCTGGTTTTGTATCAGTGTTGCTGCATTTTTTTCTTTTTTCTTCTATGCTTATAGTTTTAGTAATGTAGTAGTTTTATAGTTTTTTATAGTTTTGGTAAGGAAAAAAAATTAAGAGTGAAGATTAATTAAAGCTCCTTACATCTACTTGAGAACATCTGAAAAACTTGAGTTCATTATAAACTTGGCCTTGATTTGCCTTAACTTTGTAGCTCACATGAAGTTTTCATCTTAGTAAAGTTGGTTGCAAAAAATTCTTGATCTCATATGGCATTTTTTTACATATTATGTACTTTTTAATTTGGAGATGGTGATTATACCAAATGAAGATTATAGAAAATTTAAACCTATTAAGATTGTACCAATGTGGGATATTGTTAAGTCTGTATTGTTAGACCAGATTTTGTATTTTATGGTCCTCACCTTGTCTGTTGTCTTTGTGGTGGTTTTTTTTCCCCTCTCTCTTAAAGGTTCAGCCGTGGAAGAAAGTAGTGAACAAAAACTGAAGGGAAGAGACCCAGCTGTTTGGCACGTAGGCTTGAAGGTAGCATGGGACATAGAGACGCCTGGATTAGCAATGCCACTTGAGCAAGGAGACTTCTACTTGATGCTTGGTAACTTTCAAGGGCTAAGAAGGTTAACTTTCTGTTGAAAACAGAGAAAATGACACATTTTAATATAAATTATCATACTTTCCTTTCAGCTAGGGCTTTCCTTATTTAGAAAGGCATGAGATCTGGCTAGAGTGTGTAATTCCTCCTACCTTGCCCACTCCCAGTGTATTTTGTGGAACTTTTTTTTCCAAATGTTTCTTTCACTTCACAACTAAGAAAGGAAATAATTCTTTTCGAACCTTTTCTGTTGTGCTGTCAGAATTGCTAGTCTGAGCCAAGCTTTGGGCTGTAAGCAGAATTTCCCTAGATCTTGTGAGAAGTTGAGCTCTATCTGTCCCATCCTTGTATTTGTAGATGCTGATTCCATTTTCTATTCTTAATGCAGTTTTCCTGAGTAACTGTGAGCATCTACGTCTGTTATGTTCAAGAAAAAAAATCCCTGTTCTTGAGTTTGGCTTATAGAGTGGCTACATATTATGTAAGCTGTGACAGTAGCAGTCTCAAAGTTTTCTGGTACTGTGGTTCTTGAAGTTTCAACCATTCTGCCAATCTGTGGTTTTATTGGTCCCCAGTTTTAGACTTGACACTTCTCTCCTTCTGCTACAATTTTCCATGTGTATATTCAAGCATGCTATTTTCTAGTAGTGGGATTATACTAAGATCATAATGAACAGAGCTGTCATACTCCAAGAGTGAGTCTCAATATCTCGGATGTAGAGGATTAAAAAAAGAAAACAAAATTGTGTTCTTTTACTTGAGCAGCTGAGCTCACACACTAAGGTTTTTCCATTGAAAGAAACAAAACAAGAGCTGTGGCTAAGGTTTGGTGACACAAAATCTGTTGCTTTCTCTTTTGACGTGTTTCTCTTGGTTATCATTTTTGTTCAGACAAATCTAGTTATAAATCACACAACTGAAAACATGAACAATGTTTCTGACAACATCATGTTTCCCTGTTTAGTGTCTTGGCTTGACAGACATCGTCTTCGAAGAGTGAGAGCACTTGCAGTGTTCTCTGTTTATGTGTTTGTGACTTGGAAGGTATACTCCGTCGAAGGATGTCCCTTGAATGACCTATCACACTGCCAACTTGTTGGGCTGAACATTCTTTTCACTTTTACCTTTCACTGTTATCTTCCAAGAAATATAAAAACAGCTTACTTGCTACAAGCAATACATTTGTGGGCTGTCTTAAAAAACATACACCATTTGTTGTTCTTAGTTACCTCATCAGATCTTGTGCACTGTCATCAATGACGTATCTTGTGTAAAGGCACTGGACTGTTTGTGCTTTTAAGTATGTTCAGACATGAACAGATGAAGTGTTAAGATGTGAGATCCTTTGGCACAGTGGTGTGGATGTGCCTCCCTTTTCTATATTTGTGAGGATTTAGAGTAGCAACCTGGAGGGAAACTGAGACATTTGTCATATAAAAGTGAAGTTTAAGTGGTAGCCAAACATTCCTAGGAAGGGAATTATTAATCCATTTTTGTGCAATAGCAGTTCGGGCATCAGGTAAACTTCTTATCTTATCCTTCTTGACTGGAAATTTTGTGCATGCACAGCTTTGCTAGGCAACAGATTCAGAAGGCAATTATTAAAAGAAGGGGTCTAACTTCAGTGTTTTTATTGCAAAATACTGTAGATTGTAGTTGACTGAGTTACCAGATCATAAGGATATTTTTTATTCCCTGATGGAATTTATATACAGTAACTAAAGTATTAACAGGGATGCTACACGAGGGATGGGTCAGAAAGTTAGTTTATGTAACACATAACATCACGATCATATTTAGATGGAAACAAAGGATATAGTAAACGTTCTTTTGAAGACGATGTGTAAATCACTTTCTTATTAATACTTTGTGGAGAGCTGCAGATTTGAGCTCTATAGGCTAGGTGTTGATAATCTCTTCTGCATTTCTATAGCCTTTTTTTTTTTCCTCATTTACTTTAAAAAAAAAGTACTCTCACAGTCTGAGAGAGTATTCTCAAACTGGCCCTTTTATTAGGTTTCTGTGTACAGCAGAACTGCCTTTATCATTTTCACTTGAAGTGAAAGACAATATAAGTGGACATACAAAGTTTTAGTGTATTTTTTTTACTGTTCATGTGTTTTTGAACTGACTTTTAAGAGGAGGCATCTTGAGGATGCCATCTAAAAGATAAAATATGAAAACTGTATAAAAAGTAACTTGACAATGAAGAAGGCAATTTTAGATTTAGATTTATCTTGTGCATTTACACATCATACATTCCAGAACCTCATTTCAGTGAGTAGAATCTTCTTGCTGACGTTATTTTAAAAGCAGTGGCAGCAGTGTGCAAGGCATCTGGAAGATACAACATTAAGATAAGAGTACTGCAGCTAGTAGCAACTGCTGGTATACGGCAACTGATTGGTAGGACTGTGTACTTTTTCTGACTACCACTGACTCATCCAACTCTAGCGAAAAACTTAGCAGCTCTGTAGATCTGTTCTTCCAATTGTTGAAATGGTATAGTGCTTACTGCCTTATGAATGTTGTAAAATACTGAAATGTCAAATTCAATATGTTGCTTATAATTAAAAAGTCAGGGCCTATCAATTCCTGTACCTGTAATACCTCAACTATTTCCTAATATCGTACACACAAATCTTAGATAAGAAAATGTGGTAACTTGATATTTCTAATAGTAATGTGCAATTACAGTAACTTGTAAATCCTGATCAATGGGTATATCAAAGTAACAAAAAGATTGAGGTGTTTTTTAGCATTTCTAGTAGACATTTAGTAATGTTTATGTTCCTCTTCATTAACTCTGTAAAATGCTTTTTGTTGTTCTAGGTAGAATTTTAGTAAAATGCAGTCCTAAAATTCAAATTTACACCTGCATTCTCAGCAGTCCTCTTCAGATGAAATCATAAGCCATAATTTAAATGTACATTAGTACTAAACATGAAGTGATCAAATCCATTCTTCAAGTAAGCTATTACAATAATATAAATGTATTTTGTTTAAACAAAACCAAACAAAATCCAAAATTACTTTCAGTAAGACAGATTTTAAGGCTTACTTTTCCTAGTATGAAGAAAAAAGATCTGGTGAATGACTGCAAATCTGCTGCCTAAAAACTCAAATCTGAACTTTATATCACTCATGAAACGGAAACACTTTAGCTCAATTTAGAATAATATATTGGTCTGCGGAGGAAGTGCATACTGAACCCTGCTGTCTCAAGTACACAGTCAAGGGGTGTCTAATATGAAACGTGTTGGGTGCATGCAATAAATCCAAAACGCGTGGAGGTGAGCAAAGGGCCCCATCTGCTCTGTCCTAGAGCATGCTTAACTAGGGTTGTCATGGTCTTACTATTAAATTGGAATCTTTCCCCTAATCTTTGAGTTAGACACGACCAGATTTGCAAGCAGATTTACAATTTTCACTAATTTTCCTACCATGACTTCAAAACGTACTTAACGAAAATACATTCAGGACTTTTTCAAAGGGAGATTTACTTTTCTGCAGCTGTTTCCCATAGATCAAGCTCTTGCTTGAAGGTTAGGGTTTTAAAACAGCATGAAGATGAACTTGGAATCTTATAGCACTCCCCACTCCCAGCAAATTATAGTTCAAGAAGCATCAAAAAATTATTTTCATAACCAACCAGAAGGAGGGTGCACACATTGCAGAGATTGGCTTGTGGTTAAAGATAAGTATTTAATGGAAACACTTCCACATGTATATAGTGGCTCATTAAACTATTTCTAGATATTTAATCTGCTTCTGTTTCCACAAACTACTTGAACCCTCTTTGCTCTCTAGCATCTTGAATGTGTTGGAGTTGTTAAAACCTCTTCTTTTTTTTTTTTTTTTTCCTTGGAGTCCACATTTAGTCCAAATGCTGTATTCCTTAGTTATTAACATTTTGAACCCAGAAATGTACGTGTTGTTACCAAACTTTGATCATGAACTTTCGCAAATCCCAGAAATCTTTTTTTTTTTAAGTTCACCCCTTTAATTCATTCTATTTCTTAATTAGGGACAGATCATCCCTTTAGCTTTCTGTTATGAAAGTAGTATTCCATTGACCCATAATTTCTTGGGGAAGGAGACATACTTTCCTGGTGCTTTTTGTTGACGTACGTAGAGTAAAATTAGTTTGGTTAGGCTTTCTCCTGTTGAAGCGTTTTGTGCAGTTGGATACAAGTAGAATTGGAAATGGTGGAAAAGCATTTTAGTGCTTTTGAAAATTGCACTAATGTGGTTAAAAAGAAATTTCTTTGTTTATTTATGGTAGTTAAGGAAACTAATAGCACAAGTCCATTTCACTTTTGTTTGTAGATATTTGTGGTGTTTAGAATATCAACACTTTTGTCAGTGCTTTAAACCCCACTGTATCTTTTATCTGCTTCGTGAAATACATGACAAAAAGACAATCGTCTAAAAAGTTCAGGAAGAACACTTGAACGAAGATAGAAAAGACAATATAACCCCCCATTGCTGATTCTGAGAGCATTTGCCATTGTGGTTTGTGTTTTCTTGGGAAGTACTTTACCTAGAAGTAATAAGTTTCGGGCCTTTAGTCCCTGCTCCTTTCAATAAGGATTGACTAAGAATTAATTTGCTTTCTTTCTACCTTGTATTTGTTATGTCTTAAAAGTCTGCAGTGACATGGGTGTACTGTCATTGTTCCTCTCTGAGTGCTTTGGCTCCTCACTTCACTGGTGCTCTGATAATTAGTTAAGTAGTAGAATTAGTTTGATATACATACGTTAGTTAAGTATATATACATACACATATCCATTAATTTGTTCTTTTGACAAAGGCTATACAAAGACTGGGCTTTCAGTGTTTCTACTGGTGGTGCCCAGGTAATTCAGCTGTCTGGAAGAAAGCATAGGTGTTAGGTGTGGACAGAGCAGGGACAGGGACTGAGAAGAACAGGATCAGAGAGAAAAGAGAGGAACTGGCAGTACTTTCAAGCATTGGAGAGGGCTGTGTTGAGATTCTGTGTTGGGAGGGATGTATTTGAGAAAAGAACAGGATGACAGAAGTCTGTACAGGAGAGGGACAGAAAAATCTATGACATGAACTCACACTCCCAACTTAAAATAGAATATGCAGGTTCCAAATTCCAAAGTGTATCTGCTGTCTGTAAATAGCAGGAAAATCACCAAGAAGCTTGTCTGAAAAGGGGGTCCATATAGAGATTAATAGACTGCATCTGATAGAAGGGTGGTCAGGTGTTAAAACAATAGTGTTAGTTTTAGGAGCTGTAAGCCTGCTTCTCAGAATTTCCATGCAAACTTTGGCAAATCCCTTAACCTCTCCTTACCCTTAGGTTTTTCTGTGTCAGTTACAAACTTTCCAGGGGCCTTGCATGGATAAATGTATTAAAGCACCAAATACCTTAGATGGTTTTGTGTTGTTTAGGTTTGTGGGTTGTTTTTTTTCTTTTCCTGCAGGTGTGAGGAATAGGGATCTGTATTAAATACAAACTCCTTTTTGTAACTACATTTTGTACAACGTGCGTTATCTGAAGCTTCTGTAGTTGGAAATTCTGTGTGAAATAGTTGTATGCATTTGCAACTAATCTGATCATCTGTTAAATGTTCTTATGACTTCTTAGTACTTCATCTGTAAAGTCAAAATCTGACCTCCAAATAATTTAAAGACTTCAAGTTGATAACTTTGCTTTCTAAGGTGGCTTTGGCCACCTGTACACAATCATACATGTGATTAATTTCTTTTAATAAATCTTTCCTCAGCTATAGTAGCCCTATAATGGGATCTGGCCATAAGGTGGCAGATGATTCATTGGGAAGTGGCAGGCAGAAAGTAGTAGAAATAAAAGAATAAAGCAATCCATTTAAAAGAAATACAAGTTTTGCCATATACATGTATGCAGGAAATAGTCTCCGTGTTTCTTAGGTGCTCCACCTCAGACAGAAAAATGAAGTTATTTTTTCCAGCATTCAAACGCCAAGTGTCTGTTGCCAACCAAGTTGTGTTCCTTTTGAATGCAAACAAACCCTTTACAATATTGTCAGTAGTTTGGGGAAGCTGATTTCGGCATTATACTGCCTAAAGTGCAAGTAATCATCCACACTTGCACAGTGATTGGTGGCACAGTGGTATTCTGTTAATACAATTAAATATGAATACCTTTAATGTGCGTGATTAGGCTTTGGTTGAGAAAATTCTCTTTGGTCAGGATAGCACTCTGGCTTGTATTGGACTTCATTAGTTTTTCTTGAGTTGTTTTCTAGAATTAATATTTTAAATTTGGATAATTTGTAGTGTTTTAAAATTTATGAGCAAGTGAGAAACCTGATCAGACTTCAGAAAAATAGGCTGTGCAAGTGACAGCATTTTTTATAGATGTGGGAAAGCTTTGGGAGAGGAACAGTCATGTAAGCAGAAAATTATAGTCCAATTCTCAAAACTCCTTTCTTATCTAGCAGTTAATTAATTGACATATGCATCTCGTAAGCATACATATGGAAGGCAAGACTGTTTTAAGAAGGAGAAAGGATTATGTGACAGTTCTTGAAGCTGTACTAAATACATTGCTAAGTTGGTGTCAATGGTGATTTAAAATAACAAGTTACTTCTTATATGCATTATACAGTTCACATAAGTTTTATGGGGTTTTGTTTTTGTAATAGATATTGAAATGTCTATGAGGTGTCCCTGCCATAGCGGTCTTGAATTTGTGGCAAGATGAGGGCCCACTGTTTCGTGGAGAAAAGATGCCATGTTGGATCTTACTTCACCACAAATTCCTGAGAACTGTCTGACAAATAACTTGCCTGCATGCAGTTTTCCAGAGCAGGACTGATATGCATATCCGTACTCTTATATGCATGTATTTTATGTAATGCATAATACTGGAGAGGCTGTGTTTTGGTTTTCCAAACCTCACCGGTCAGTGTTTAGTCATGTAAAACTGATGTTAACTCCATATGTATTGTATATTACCTAAAACCGTGAGAGCACTATGGTAGTTTTGACATGGGTGTCCAAGGAAGGTAACAGTTCTGGTTTGTCTCTAAAACCAAAATAGTGATCTGGATGTAGTGTTCTGTATCTGAATAAAAGCTTTTGCTGCTAAATGAGCAATGGCCAAGTTAACAAAGAGTACTTTTTCTTTTCAATTAATATATTTTTAGAAGAAAAAGGAAAGCAAATCTTTACTGTAATCTTTTAAGACCTAGAATGTATTTCTCAAATATCCTTTGAGACATGCAATCCATGAAGCTTCAACTCTTTTTGTACAATGACAGTTTTAGATGAATTATAAACTCTTAAATTAAAATTACAGACTTCTTTCTAAGATTCATAAAGGATTAGAGACAGTTGGAAACAATTTCAAGGGGGAGCTCTACAATGCAAGATTTGCAAAGGGTTTGAATAAAGGTGCAAATCAAAATGTAATACTTGTAATGCTGTGTTTGCTACATGTACACACCGCAATGGATGAGCACTGAATGGGGTGGTGGAAGTGTTTAGGTTTGTTTTCTCAATTCTTCTTGAAAGTGATTGTGATATTTAAATGTTGCAATGTCTGCAGATAATACTGTTCTGTGGCCCTTGCAAGACTTGGTTCTATGCAATTTAACCCTGATATGTTTATGTAGGAAACTGCTTTTTCCTAGGTTCTTTTTGTTTGTTTTGGAGAGTTTTTTCAAGTTTTTCAGCTTCATCTATCTGCAAACGTCATGCAAATAGAAAATAAACCTTCCGTTGAAACTTTCTCAGTGGGAATTCAATCCTGTTTCATGATACTTGTCTGCCTTACATAAATTGTTTTTCGGATTTTTTTTTTTCCAAGTTTGTGATGCTATCTGCTGTCGTAGGTATGAACTTTGTTAACAGTTGCTTATATAATTCATAAAAAGATGACATTGTTCGTGCAGCTAGGATAAAATCAGTAGTTTTTCTGAATTCTTATTCATTAGATTTCTCAGTTTTAAAACTTTTACTTTACCTTGCAGCAAGCCTGAAGTTTTAGAGCATATATTTTTTTCAGGAATAACGAGAATACCATTAAGCCTCACACACTGTGTTCTTGTCAGTATGGTAGTCTGTTGTTAGGATTAGAAGAGCATTTTCAAAAATTAAGAGTACGGTGTATCAGGTTTCAGGTATGCAAATCTTGATCTCTTCAAGAGAAATTATATTTATGTGATGGAAAGATGAAGCTTGATAGTTTCTCATCATGCTGTATTAAGATGACTTAAGCTAAATTCCCTGAAAGAATAGATGCTGTTGAAAATACAGACTCCAAGTTAACTAGCATCTTGTAGATCTCTATTCCTGTTCTCTTCTAATTTTGTTTATGATGATTTTTTTGTTTGGTGACTCTTCAGGTCATCTAGTTTTGTATGTTTGGGTTTCTTTAAGTCTGTTTCCACTAACTTACAAAACTATAACCCAAGAGTGATTTTGCAGAAATTTTTGCTAGATATTCCTGAATATCTTGTTAAGGTTGAGAGGGCAGCATAATTTTAATACCCATACTGTTTGAATTGAAAGCACTTCTTGAATGGTTTTCAGTGTAACAGTGAGTGTTGTTACTAGATTTAGTCTGAACTTTTCCAAAGGAATGTGTTTCCTCTAAAAAGTGCTAATTTGTCAGAATTTCAGAGTTTTTCAGTTAGGATAATTTTGACAAAACTCTTATGGCAACCACGTAGGTTCCATCTACAGGGTTTGTGGGGCTGTGTTTGCCAGTTTGTGAACTCCAGTCCATGGCAGCCCTCTGACAGGCTACAGGAAAGTCACAAATGAAATGCTTTGGAGACAGGTCTTTGAGCAGATTGTGCTTTCTGAGTTCCCAGTTTCTTGGCTCTGAGGTGAAGGGAGAACTTCAGACAAGTTTCAGTTAAAAAGATGAAATAATATGTCTTTATCTTTTTTGTTTTTTTTGTTTCTTTTTTCAAGAAATGTCAGTATTGTTTAGTGATTTTTGAGAAAAGAGATTGTAATTTCTGAGTAGTCTGTTGTTTATAGTAATCCTCAACTTTGAAAGAATTAATTTGTTTAGTTGAACTTTTCCCATAAGAGGTGGGAAAATGCCATTTTTAAACTGTATGAACGGGGAGAATACTAATATGAATAGAGTTCTTTGTAACACTAGGACAGTGAATAGTTATCATGCTCTGCTGAGTATTAGAGCTTTATGAAGATAGTACTATCTGACTGAATTCTCTATTTTTTTTTTCTTTAAATGCTTAATGTAGTGTCTTTAATTCATATTCAGCCAGAATAAGTTTTATTAAATATAATTTTTCCTGGTACTTAAGGTTTTCTAATCTGTCTCTAGATGATCTCAATATGACACATCAGCACTGTGTTCTGGCTGGTTTTTCACCTCGATTCAGCTCAACTCACAGAGTGGCGGATGTAAGTATCAAAAATGCTTTGCTGTTTGGTCATTTGTAAAACTACTATTCTGGTACTGTATATGTAACATGTTGTCTTATCCAGGACTGTGGTGCAGAGTTATGCTTATGACTAAAACCGTATTTTTGAACAACTACTATTTGTTTATTTTTGAGTTGGGGTACACTTGTTTCTGTATTGGTAGTGTGCCTAAACCCACAGTAAGTCATATAAGGTATATTTTAAAACTTTTTTACTGTCAACATATCCCAGTCCTAGCTGAAAGGCAATACTCATGAAGAGACAGAAATATTCAAAACACCTATGTCAGTAGTGTCCACTGGCAGCAATGGCCTTTAGGAGGTCAGAATAACCAAGAACAGTCATGAGTATGCTTTAAATTAGATCCTTCTGTGCATCTGATGGCTGAAGAAGCAGAAAAGTGATAGTCCCTTGTCTCAGAGTCATTCTGAGATAACAAGGCTCCAGCCTGATATTCTCAAGTGCTAAGATACTTTTTTTTTTTACTAGACCTCTTCTCCCTGTTCCTTTCCATGGTGTTATCAGTAGTTTTGTTTATGTAGTATTCTAATAGGAAAGCATACAGAAAAATAAAAAGACTGTATTGTAAAAAGATATTTTGAAAAATTATAATTACCACTTCCTTCTTTCAGCAAAGCAAAATATACCACTGTTGAAGTGAGAGAGATACATGTATCTGTATACTTCTTTTTTTTTTTTTTTTACATTACTCTTCCTAATTTCTACAGGAATGGAAATAAAGGAATAACACCAAACATGGACATACACATACATATAAGTTGTAATCTAAAAAAGTGTCTTTATTTCCCAAACAAATATATACTCTGCTTGCTTGCACTGGGCTTTGACATAAAGTTAAAGTACACTGTACATTTTAAATCAAATAATTCTGTATTTTTATCTCTCATTTTAAGAGTGCTCTGACCTACTGCTCCTGTCCCTGTGTTACTTCTGCAGGAAAATGCACGCTTCTTTTCACAGTATGAAAAGCTTCTCTATTAAGTGATTATGCTTTGTAAACTACTGTGACTTCAGGTTATATAGTATGGAAATTTTCTTCTTTTTTCTGTTTCAAAATTATTTTTACAGCTTTCCTTGTAATTTTGAAGGTAACTTAATGACAACAAAATAAAAGGAGCACAAGTGCAAAATTGTTTTGTTCATATTCCCTATATCTTGTAAGCAAACAATTCTCAGACTGGATATGGAATTACATTTTTAATGTTACTAGAAGCATTGTTATGGGCGTACAACTGGGCAAATGCAATTGATTCTGAAATACTGTCAAAAACTGGCCAGGAAGCAATGGAAATGATGGCTGTGTTCTTGTATGCCATATTTGTAAATTAAATTTAAGAGGAATTCTTTTCTTTCTCCTTTCAATCCATGCTGTACTGGTTGGCTAGATGTTTGCTAGATTAAACTTTTGCATAATTTATATCAATAACTGTGTAGACAATCCAGGAGGCATTGCTCTTTTGTTTAAAAGATCATGAAATAAAGTTACAGAAATACATCTCTTCTGCTCCTACACTTTTTTCAGAAGCCAATAGTTCAGCGTATTTGAGAAATATATATGTTCTGAAGTGATTATATATAAATTTTTATTCTATCTATTTATAGTGTTCGAGAGGAACATTGGAATACATATTTGGACGATGTGAACTGGCACTCCAGAATTTACAGACTGATTCTGATTCAATGGCTTTATCTTTGAAATCACTGGAAACTGCAGTTGTAAAGCAAGTAGAAGAAATACATAATGAGGTGAGATATCTGCACTGAAAATAATTCAGCCAGGTTCTGAGAGGTGCGGTCTACTCATGGAGTTAATGGTATTAAAAGTGTGTTCAGCTGCTCACAAGGCATTGCTCTGTATAAGTTTGAAATGTTTTTTTCTGTGACTTTTTTACTTGGGTATAGTAACTGGGATTCACTTGGATTGATTCTTTCATTCCCCTGAAGTTTTCATTTTTCCTTCTTAAGATCCCTCTGCTGGTAGAGTAAAAGAGTAGTTTCAGTGATATTACACCAAATCTGATAGCGTGGTGGACAAACCAAACTACTCTAGTGCTTCTCTAACAAAGAGAGGGAGGGGAAAAAAGAATTAGAGGGAAAGTTAGCAGGTGAAATTTTGCAGTTGTTCATCGGGTGTTGAACCAGGTTTTTACAGAATGCCAGGTGTGACACAATTGTGAGTATGTGCTTTAAAGTATGTTCTGAAGAAAATACAGTGAATAATTGTGAGGAGCATATTTAAGCAGGTTGTTCTGAGCTACAAAATATGCAAGCGTAACAATGCACTTTGGCAGGATTTCACTGACACTGGCAGTGCTTTCTTGCTTGAAGTACTGATGTCTTAACCAACACACTAATTTGACAAATGAACTGAAAATATCAGACGGTACTTGGGAAACTGCAGAAACAGGTAATTTTTCCTGTGGTATAAAAGTAGACAGTATCACCAAAAATGAGATTTGACTTATTCTCTGTTAGTGTGTAGAGTCAGGAATGTGATACAATGGACTCTGTCTTCTTACAAGGGTGGTGTTTCTGAAGAAGGTAAATTTAGTACTTCTTTTTTTTTCTTCTTTCTTTTTTTAAAGTTATAGAAAATGTACTCAAGGCTATGTATTAGGAGTTTAAAATGACAGATTGTTAAGCTGCTTTGGAAAGCCGTGCTTCTACCTGAAACAAAGCTTTCAGCTGTTCCTAACTGTAAAGCACTGATGATCATCTCTCTTTAAAAACAGCTATAGCAACCAGTTAATACAAACATCTGAACTGCTTTTTACTTATTCTATCAGTAGTTTTTTACAACACTCCTATATTCAGACCTTTTGAAGGAGCTGTGCTATATTTCTACTAAGGTAATCTACTAAGTTGATCACTTTTGGCAGCTGTATAGGTAGCTTTCACTGAGAATTTGTGTAAACTATTTAAATCACTATCTGCTATGGAATATAATATTGTGTATTGTTACTAAAACTTCATATAACACATTTTTGTCTGTATTGTGTTTAGAGTTGGTTAAATTGAGTGTAGTGACGGCAAAAGATTTGCACCCTTGACTTTTAGCAAAACAGCTCCTAGAGCAATTTAAAGAAGTCTTATGCATGCAGGGTTTTACGAAACATTAATCAGGGTCAGTCCTTAAAACTACACGCATATGTGCTTTGCACAGCTAGGGCCACATGCACAGCTGGTGTAAATTTGCACGGGTCCTTTAACATCAAAGGCATGTGCTGTTTACATCAGGTGAGAGACTAGCCCCTGGTGTTTGCAGTCACCTGAATAATTTTGCTGTGTGACATACAGGGATGTTTCCTGTTACGCATATGGGATATACTGTAACAGAAATCATTGTTAAACTTGTACATATTGCACACTTAGACTGAGCAGACAAATTGAATCTATATTTCATTTGAAAAGAGAATACCCACTCACCTCTTCTTAAATTTTTTTTTTATCCCAAGGTCACCTCTTCACTTGAAGGACAAATTCCATATGTTAAAGTGCTACTTAAATTTCATTTATTTGCTGCACAAGTAGACAAAATTACTCATGGCTTATCACTGGTAAATGCACATTTCTTTTTCGAACATCACTGAAGTGAAAACATATGGATCTGTGAGGCTCATGCAACTTTTTTTGCATATAAAGGCTTCCTACCTTCTTTCACTCGTATGATAAATCTTTGTATTTTCAGGCACTAATACTAGTTTTGAAGTTTTCTTAGGCAGGTGAAAAACAAGAATGTGTCATTTCTTTAAAGAATCAAACTGTTTACTGGTGGAAATGTGTCTTCAATTTGATCCATGTGATGAGTATTCGGTCACTTTTTTTTTCCCCTTAGTATTTTTAAATATAAAAGACAAACATGGAATTAATGAAGAACTGCCACCCAGTTTTGCCTGTGTATTTCTGTCTGTCATACAGCTTTCTCTACTAGTTCTGAACCTCCTTGTGAATTTTTCTCAATGCCTCTGGACCAGAGATCATGAGCTTGAAATTAGGTAGTATTCCCATCTCTAGAGGTGGTGATACAGTTGTATTTTGTTTTCAAATATCATCGTAACTGAAGTTCTTCAGTTTAACTCGGATAACTCAGTGCAGCCATAGTTCTAGATTCTTGTATCTTCCTGAAATGCCACAGGTTTGGTTTTTTTACCCCACTTGCTGGCATCTCTGAAGTAATCATCAGAGATCATTAACTGGAGCAGAACCATCACAGTACCATCAGGCTATGTGTGACTAAGCTAAAATATAGTAGTTTAGCACAGATTCACAGTCTGTGCTGAAATTAACTGCTCTGCCAAATGAGGCCTGGATGAACTATCTGTGTTGGGAAAGAGCCTAAAAGCAAGTCTGAAAGAATGCAGTATGATTCTGTGCCTTCACTTTTGTATTCCTGGGCAGGAAAATGGACTTGCTGATAAAGTGGGTTAGACCTGAAGATCTGAAGCAGAGGTGGAGACTTAGGTTTTTTTCCGTTTTTGTGGCGGACAGAGAAACCTCTAAAAGAGGTTTAGGTGCGTATCTGGGGGATGTCTTTACTGATGTTAGATTTCCCATAGTTCATTTGTCAGAGCCCTGTCTTGAGTGTTTTGACAGAAGTATTCCTGGTGAAAAGGTAAGATGCTAACCTGAGGAGTTTTTAGCATCTCTAACGGGCAGCCAGGTAGAAGTTTAGTATTTATTTAGACTTAGCTTTGTTGTCATGGTCTCCCTCACTAAAACAGCCTTCAAAGGAATATCTGAGTAATTGCAAGGTATGTGCTGTTTGTTAGTTGTGTGAGTCACTTCACTCCCAGAATGTACTTTGTTGTTGTAAGTAAAGATAACCTTAATTAAGGATGTTCGCGTGCTGCTTGTCTGAGTAGCTTATGGGCTTGAAGTCTGAACAAATACTTCAATAGCAGGGTATCTGGTGAACAGAGTGTAGCAGGGTGAACAGAATTATTTACCTGGACAGTTCAGAAGTACAATAACCTAACAATGCACATATAGTGTTAGAGATTGAAATTATCCCTTTAAGCAATCAGATTCCTATTTGGCCAGTAATAATTTATCCTGAAATAAATGAACTTGCAGAGTTCACTGAATGTGAACCTCTTGCCCCTACTGAATCATACTTGGCTTTCCACAATATATATAGCTGCTGGGTATGTCCCAAAAAGAGCTACAGGGGACCTGGGGAAACCCATTGACAAGTAAATGCTTTTTAAAGTAATAAAACACTGCTGGACAGACGATGTAAATGCTCATACATATAAAAATAAATCTGCAGAAAAGATCATTGCCAGCCTGTTCTTCACATTTCAAAGAAAATTTATTTTCCTTGCTCTGAGTAATGCAAAATCTGGTAATAGTTCATACTGTGTGAGGTATTTTCAAGACTTCCTTATTTGCCGACACCAAACTAATAATTGGATGTCCTCTATGAAGTAAAACACTGGAGGAAGTTTTTTTTAGCATCTGAGGATTGTGTTGAAAATGTAGCAGATTTCCAAGTAAGTATTCTAGTTTGAAAAGGTAGGGTTTTGTCCTCATAAGGGTTTTTACTCAGCCATGATTATCAAATCATGATTACCGTGACTTGAGACTGAATTAATTGCTCTGTTGCTTGTGAGGTACAGTCACTTTTGCCTACAGCAAATCTATTTTTATGATAGCAGTAGGTAAATTTTAGTGTGGTGAATGCACAGGGAGGTAGAAAAGCCTAGGTTAGCTAAGTTGAAAGTATATGGTGTTAGACACTGAGGTTATTGCTGAGAACGAGTAGCGGTGTATGTAACCAAAGGAAGGTTAATATGTTTTAGCACATCAGTGAGTTGACAGCATGGTTGGTGGCTGGCTAGTACGGCAGAGAGAAAATATAGATCACCTACATGTGCGGCATTTAATAACCAATACTTTTAAATAATTGACTGAGGAGCACTGCCTCACAAAATGTCAAATGCTACTGTTGGCCTTTTACTACCCAGTATTGACTATAACCTAAAATTGGCCTTTAATCATTGTTTAAAGGACAACTTGAAAATATGTTGAGGTTAGACATATGAGGCCTGATTTTGATCTTACTTGCACAGATATGAGTCATAAGTGAAAATTAATTAGGAGGTGAAAATTGTTCCTCAAACACTCAGCATATATATTTTTATGTTTATATGTTCAGGCTTTGTCCTGTTCAGTCATGTAAAATGCATTCTAGTGATAACCAAAGTTAGCTTTGATATACAGGAGTCTCCAAATTAAAATTCTTTGACAAAATCCTGGCAAGAGCTGTTAACCTGAAAGTGTTGTCACAGATGATGAATGTTGTGTAATTTCAGTTCCAATAAGGCTAGAATTGAGCTTTTTGTCTCTCTCCAATATTTACTGTTGTGTTGTTGGGGTTTTTGGGTGGTTGGTTTGTTTGGTTTTGTTTTCATTTTTTTTCCTGGTACAGCTCCCTCTGTTTGTGGAAGGAGACAAGCCAATAGGAGTGCCTTCCTGCTACAGGAAAATATATTGCTCAGTAGAGTTCAATGAAAGCAAGAGAGCATAGCTTTTAAGAGAACTTGGAAAGCAGATAGCATATGTTGTTAAAACATGTACTTAGTAATGGATGTGGTGTAAAAAATGTTCATGTGTAAATTAAAAATACCGAACAAACTTAGCATAACTGAAATCTCTGGAGGTTTTTAGCAAAACTAAGTATTTATGCTTGCATATGTCTAAAACAAGAGTGATAGAGAAATCATGTCACTGTTGCCTCATCAAGGTGGTGTTTTTTTTTTTAAAACTATTTTTTTAGAATCAACAGTTATCTGTTCAGAGGTGATAGTTCAGAGCAGTCACTTGTCAAACAGCTTGATGGCTAAGTCGATGGGTGAAACATTGTTTTTCTCCTCAACCCCCATTTTGTTTACTCAGTTTAGAGCTAAACGGAGACATTGTGAGATGAATGCAGACCTAAGTTTGAGAGCCCTAGTAAATGGTAGTCCACATCGTTAAATAGCCACATGTTGCGATTTGGTACACTGACCTCTGATGAGACCGGCTAATCCTGCAGAAAATTAACTAGCCTGTTGCTTAACTTTACCTCTTACACCTAAAAAGCAGCTCTTTTGTGTCAAGTTGTATATTCTGTATAGGGTCAAGATACATTAAAAATTTGGTGAAGATGCCAGACTTGAATTAAACTGAAATTAAATAGATTAATGTAACGAATCATAATGACTCGTGAAAAATCAGATTGACTGAAATAGATTCTTGTCATGATGAGCTGTATTGTAAGAGTGATTTTAATTTTTTAAAAAATTTTTTTCATTGATTAATGGCCTCATGTGTTTCATTTAATGAAACATGTTTGCCAGACATCGTGTGTTATACCCTTTTGTGGTAGAGGCCAGCAAAACTGAAAAGAAGTGGGTGGAGAAAAAAGTATCGAGTGCTTAAACCTCTAGTTGAACTGTCAATATACTCAGCCTTCCCAAAACTAAACATACTGATGTTTTAACAAACCATAACTTGATCCTTCGTACCTCATTGATACTGTAGAGGAAGCAAACTTTCCTTCAACTTTTTTTAGGAAGGATGTCATCAAACTTCTGTGCTAAAAAGTCACTAGGGTAGCACTCAGGTTGTTTGAAAGTATCTTAAAATACTTTCTAAGATCTACGTGTGCCAACAAATCAGGTGTTACGTTTTCCAGCAAAGTTGCTTTAATATTCTTTATATACACTTCAAATTTAAGTATCTTTTATTGTAATCTTTAACATATATTGAACAAACATTTAGTTAATGTTAACTGGAACACTTCCAGGTTTCTGTAGCCACTCTGTTCACCCTTGCAGGAAAGAAAGCGTTAGGTGTTAGCTTTGGGCAGTTTTCTTTATTCTTGCACCTTGGCAGGTTGTCTTTGTTTGCATCATTGGAGCTGAGCAGGGATAAACAAAAACTTCTTTGTGATACAAATAATGATTAAAGCAGCTTTGAACTCAATGTGAAACATAACTACTACAACAAAGATGAATTCAGAATTCTAAAGACCAGGACTATAGATTACTATTAAAGGAAAAAAGGCTCAGTGGAAATTAGGATTAATGGATCATTTTGCTTAAAGAATGTTTGATGAGTTATATATTTATATTATGTTTTAGTAAGCTCATACTTCTCTTAAAGTTGATGGGCCATCTATATGATTTTTTTTTAAAAAAAACCTCTAACTAGTAAAGTATTACACTATTTGCTGTGTTTCATATTTTCAGTAAAAGTATTAGCTTGCTCCTAGTGGAATTCTTATGGCTTCAGTGGGGGATTTGTTTTCTTTGTAAAGCACAGTTTCCACACAAACATTGTCCTGGAAAAACCTCTTACTTCAGATGCCCCGAAAAGCTGTAACTTGCTTTTTCACTCCTGATACGTGTGCATTGTTCTGTGCTAGAGGGTTTTGATGTAGTGGTGGGCAGCTGCAGTGGAGGGAGCAGGAACAGCTTGGGGCCAGCCCCTCTCCCCGGCGGGTCTGCCCAAGCAGGGCACTTTTGTTTCTCATACTGAGATCCAGTTAATCCGGAAATTATTGGTAGCGTATCTTGTAACCAGATTGTTTGGTAAAGTATGAGAAACTATGATTTGTTATAATGCTACAGTCTCATTCCATAGCAATTGACCAGGCTGCAAGTTTTATCAGTCTTTTATATGACTGAAATGTTTTGAAACACACAATGTTGATCAAAATAAGCTGGAGTTGGTACATATTTGACTGTGAGTCAATTGTGAGTAAACCTGAACTTTTAATGTTCTTGGTATGTGTACCACATGTAAAGAGAACAGTTAGGTTTTGCCCCTCGTCAGGTTGAGGGAGTAGTTCAGGTCACAAATTCATGTGGAATAGAAATAAAATAAACAGCTAGGAATAAGGGTGCATTTAGAAATGAGTACTTTGGTAACCTTTTCTATGGGATTGCTGGACTCATGCATTACCCTGTTTCTGCCCCAAATAATGAACATAGATGTTTATGTTACTATATGTTTTTATCTTGCAGGTTGAATTTGAGTGGCTTAGGCAGTTTTGGTTTCAAGGCAAGAGATATTTGAAGTGCACTGATTGGTGGCTTAAACCTATGGCTAAATTGGAAGAATTTTGGAGAAAAATGGAGATTATGGTAAGTACTAGTTTTATAGCCTAAAGCCTCTAGAGCTTAATCCTGAGAGCACTCACAATTATGTTTTTAATTGTACTGCAGTAACAGGTTTTAAACTTGGTTCAGAACAGATGAAAAGTAGAATAAAGGTCAGTCTTCCACTGCTGCCTCTTACTTTTTCTCCCCAGTAGCCAGAAGAAATGTGAGCAAAATGTGATCCAAAAAACCAAGATTTTAATTATTTCCCGACTTTGCTTGTTTTTGAAGTTTGACAGCCTCATAAGATGACAGTCATATGTTACATCACAGCAGTTGGTACATGAAACTGTGTGTTGTCGACTTTTTTGTATGACGCCAAGACAGACAACTCTGCCAATGACAACAATGGTAAATGCATCTGAGGAAAGCTGAGAGTTAAGATCTGATGATCTGGAGGTACAGCTATCTGTCTGCAGTCCACCTGCACACTTTCACCGTAGCTAGAACCAACAAGAGATTAGTTTCTTGAACAATAGTAGTGGTATTGGTTCCTGTATACCTGAAGGTACATGCCCACTTTCCTTGAAAACGGCCTCAGTGAGAAGCACTGTCAGCCTGTTTGCTCTTGCTGTCCATGTAGAGACTCAGTTGGGAGACTTTGCTAGTGTAAGTGTGATGTAATTGCCAGGATGCCCGCTGCTAGATTTGTACACAGGAGGAACTGTATTGACAAACCTGTCTTACTCGTATCCTTAGACCTGCATTAGGAGCTACTTCTCAGTTGTTTCTGCTGGTCGCAGCTTAAGCCTCAGTTTGCTCGTAGTTGACTTGGAAAAGTTTGTAGTGTAACCGAGGATGCTGAATATGATTTGTAGTGGAGGTGGCTTTGAATCTCTGGAGGTATGGTATAAGAAGAACGCGCTCTTGAGTTTTGAGGGGAAATTTTGTTACTAACTAACCTGCTCAAACATATTATAAGCTTTTTCAGCAGTGGCTGGTTTCAGACTTGTAAAAGAAGTGTGGAAAAGTGGAACTTTCATTTGTGAAATCAGTTGCTGCAAGGAGTCAGCGAACATTAAACTTACTGACAAAAGGAGAGAAATTATTTATAACTTGCTTATGTGTTTTTCCACCTTTTTGTGTTCTTATGTGCTCACATTCTTGAATGACCTTTCTAATTAAAAAAAAAAATCTTTTGGTTTGTTTTTGTTTCAAATGACAACTTACTCTCTTGTAAGAGAGGCTTAGATGAGGTAGAGACAAGAATGTTTGATTGTTATTTTATATCCATTGTGTGTTGAGAACATGGAAAAACAGCAAACTCGGGAATTCTCAAGGGTTAGGTTTTCTGCAGTTGGTGTGACATTACCATGTGTCTCTAATTAGAAACATGGTGGTGTCAGTGTATCTCCTTTCAACAGACTCAGGATGATATTTATCAGCAAACTGAAATTTGGGCCAAGACAGAAGCTGCTTCTAATTTAAATTTTAAAAATTACTTTAATGTTTTATGACTTATAACATACTAATTACAATTAATTTCAGCTATTGAAGGAGACAGAAGAGAATGTTACTTGAGAATGTCTGTTTTGTTGAATCTCTACGTAAATTTGATGCTTACTATATTTGGGACTTGGAGGTAGGGTGGGTTTTTTCTTTTTAATTTCACCTACGTTTTGTCCCTTAGTGTTTCACAAGGTGACGGTAGGGGGCAATGTTGAGCCGCAGTTTTAATGCAACAACAGCCACTGTCCATAAAAATACGTAGAAATGTAGCATTAACATCAAGAATTATCCCTGTTGCTTCAAGTTAGCTGTAATCTCTAAGATTCCATAACACAGGAAATCAATTGCGGGTTAACAAATTCAACAGCAATTTAACATAAAAAGTGCAGTGTTTTGGTGCATGCTTAGCTTCCGCAGCATTAAGTTAAATCAAAAAGGTATTTCTGAAGGTACCCAGTAGTCTTCAGTCGATGTTTTTTATCCAAATTTGTAACTTTAGCTGGATGATTCTTTAAAAAAAATAATTGTGTCAAAATGATAAAAGTAAAAGTGTCTTAGAATTGTTGATCTTGTCTCGGAAGGATATTGTTGCTTAAAAGGGATTATTCCTTAAAAGAAAAGCAATATTTTCTAACTTTTGTGTGTAAGCTGAACAACTCTTTACTGACTTTTTTATATATGTGTCTAGAGTGATACAAAAGTCAGTCTTGGGGTCCCTGCATGCCTGCCTACTGGGTTGTTTTTTTTATTTTTTTTTTTTTTCCCCCTTGTTTACTAAAGCATTTATAATGAAGAGAATAAAGTTTCCAAAATAATTTCTGATTCTGCTAATTGTAATTACTCCAGTTTCACGGCAGAGTATGATACTGGAGAAAGTTTAACCCAGTGTCTTCAAACCTTTGGGCTTTATTTAATATTTTTGTACGTTATAGCAAGCACACAATTTTATCATAATGTTTATTCCTGGCATTTCTTTCCCTGAGGATAGTTTTACTTAGAGCTCGGTCTTGTGATGTAAATGTTAAACCTTTCATTTGAATGACATTCTGATAAAACATCACATTTCCCACAATATTACCTCATGAATTTATGAACCATTAAATCCAAAGCAGTTTAACCAATCTTCTCCTCTTCCCCCCTCCCTTGAAAATATGAAGGCTATTCAAATATTTGAAGGTGGTTTTTTTTTTTAAAAGTCATCCAAGATTAACACGTTATCATCTGCAACATCAGGATAAATGCTTGCTGAATTCAAAGGGAGAGTTACCATTTGAAAAAAGACTGTACAAGCTTTGCTTTCTGGGTAAAGAGAAGTCTGAAAAGCTGAAATCTCATGTGATGTGAGGAAGTCTTGCTGTAGCTGTTCTGAGATTCAGTGGAGAGACAATTTGTCTCTCAGGGTCTGATATCATGCAAACCTTGCAATCTGACATTTATTTTAGCTATGAAAATCTCTTATAACACCATGCCAAATCAGTAAGAACTGCAGAAGTCCTACAGTCTTTTTTGTTTATTTTGTTTTACGCTGACTCAGATTTGAATAAGTAAAATGTAAATCAATGAAATGGTTTTTGTTTGTGGAATGAAAAATAAACATATATAATTGTACTTAAATATCGAATCTTTAAGGACTTTTTAGCATATCTAGTGTTCCTTTAAAAAAAAAAAAAAAAGACCCTAGTAGTGCTCTATGGTGTGAATTGTATTTCCTGCTTTGACAGTCCATTTAGCAGTGTAGCAATGTATTTATATGGCAGTTGGCCTTAATAACCTTATTGACTTCAGTGGGTAAGAGCCAAGACTGGGATTATTAAAATGTATCAGTTTCATCACAGTATAAAATCACAACATATATAATTATGTTAGGTAGGCTAGGTTCCATTTAATCCCACCTATTTATGCAGGAATTTGGCAAGATGAAAAAAATTGTAGAACTAAAATGTAGACAAAAGTATGACTGATTTGAAGTTATATTTAACAGCATAACCGTTTGCCTACAATAAAGGGTCTACTTAAAGGAATGAAACATAGATCTTAAAGAACTGATTTTTAGCGGTTTAACTGAAACCCAAGTAATTGTTACGCCATTTGTTTCACTTTTTGGGATCCTAAAATACGGCTAATGATAATGAAATACAGGACACCGTTTAGTTTATAGATGCAGTCTAAAAGCAGAAGTGTGCACACTGTCTGTAGTTATAATGAGCAAAGTGGCATTTCATGCGAACGGATATCTTTCTGTGCAACTTTCATCTTGATTTGTAAAACTTTTTAAAAACTATATTTACTAGTCCTGTTATTGTTACTGTTATTCTCAATAGCATGCTTTTATCAGGTTATACAACTAAAATGAAATCAGAGAGCAAGGCTATTTTCTTGTAAATTTTTTTTTTCTTTTTTGAATTCTATTTCATTATTTTGTACTATTGCTACATATGAACTATGTCATAGTTTCAGCTGTAAGCCACTATTTCAGAGGCTTACAGTCTGACAGTTAGAATTGAATCTAGGCTGAAACTTGAGCTACAAATTCTCAGCCCAGGGCCATAATATATGTCTTTTTTTTTCCCGCCCCAAATTAAAATAAGGGTTTAAATATGTATTTAAATCAGAGTATTTCAGTTCCAGAATAATCATGAAAAGCTATATGACAATATATGCTTTTAAAAGGAATCCTCCTAGCTTTTGGAGCCTTTGGCACTTTAAACAGCTAACTGATTATTCATTTAAAAAAAAAAAAAAAAAGATAATGGGATCACAAACAGGCTGGTTGGTTTTTTAGCTTTTTTCAGAAAATGCTGAGCAACTTAACTGACATTTGCATTGGTTTGACCTTGTCAGCCAAAATTCAAGAAATTCTGAGGTATTATTTTAATTTATTCTTTAGCTTTCACGTTGTGCTTAGATATTGCAGTGTCACACTCCTTTATTGGAGGGCCATGCGGTGGTGGGTGATCGTATTTGCCTAATGAGCTGTGAAATGTAGGCACAACATGGCAGCTCAAAGACCCAAATTTTAGCCATATTTCTTGTCTGTTTGGGCTCTTCTTATCTGTTTAGGCCAGACCCTTTAAATAAATAAATTTTTGGCAGGTTATATTTTATCTACACTAGGAGTCAGATGTTTCTGGAAATGTACCTTTTATCTTAAACAACAACAAAACCTGATGCTGAAGACTCTTTCTTTTTCCCTTTTCTCTTTTTCCCTTTTCTCTTTTTCCCTTTTCTCTTTTTCCCTTTTCTCTTTTTCCCTTTTCTCTTTTTCCCTTTTCTCTTTTTCCCTTTTCTCTTTTTCCCTTTTCTCTTTTTCCCTTTTCTCTTTTTCCCTTTTCTCTTTTTCCCTTTTCTCTTTTTCCCTTTTCTCTTTTTCCCTTTTCTCTTTTTCCCTTTTCTCTTTTTCCCTTTTCTCTTTTTCCCTTTTCTCTTTTTCCCTTTTCTCTTTTTCCCTTTTCTCTTTTTCCCTTTTCTCTTTTTCCCTTTTCTCTTTTTCCCTTTTCCCCAGTATTTCTAGCTGTCAGAAATGAGAGAAAGGATTC